GCAAATTTTCTTGTAAAAAAATTTCAAAGGTTTTGGGTTAATATTTTTTAAAAACTATACTTTTAAATTTTGTATAAGAAATTTATATACGGGCCTTTTTCCCCCCTTATCCATAAAACCCAATTTAGGCCCCATTCCCAATCCAGACTTTGTTCTTTTTTCTCAATCAAATAAAAATTCCCAATGCCGAGGTTGGTGATTTGAAAAAAGGTACCACATATTTGTATTTGGTGTAAATGTTCTAGATGTTTTCGATATCTTTTAATTTCTGATTAGTTTCAATAAGATTTATTTTGCTAAATTTGTTTAAAGAATTTTGAGTATCTTGAATGTTGGCCTATTTTTCCAAAATGATAAATTTCACAATTATTTTTTTTTTCCAAATTGAGTATAAAATTAAGCTAGAACTTTCCCAAAATAAAGGAAAAATGTCTGGTATAATTCACGATTGCATCTTGTATGTAGTTAAGTATCTAAACAATTTTCAACAAAACAATTTGGATTGCTTAACACTGTTTATTTATGCAATGAACAATATTGAACCTGTGTTTTCTATTCCATAGGTGCGTCAGTATAGAAATAGTATTTTCCACTCAAGCAGTATGGAATTAGAAGAAAGTGAAGCAAATACTTACTTAGATGATATGATAGCGGTTCTGCAAGATGGTTAAGAGCTATTACAACCGATAGAATGCCCAGATAGTGGTGAAGAAACTTCAAATGCTACAGTGTAAATAATGACAATTTATCAGTTTGAAATCTTTATTGAGTAACTTATAATGATTTAAAATTAACAAACCCACTAAATTCAGGACAAAAAGGTTTTGTAAAACGAATTAAAATATGATAAACAACAAAAAAAAAAAAAAAAAAAACACAAAAAAAAAAAAAAAAAAAAAAAAAAAAAAAAAAAAAAAAAAAAAAAAAAAAAAAAAAAGAAAAGCGGCGTTCAATGAACGCAAACCCCCCACATGATTCAGCAACAAGAGACAAGTGGCAAGGAGCCCAGGGGGACCCCAAACAAAACAGGACAGGGCCAAAGACAGAGCACGGACAGGTTAATCATTAAATGATAATTAATTTGATTAACTGTTAGGAATTCAAAAAATAAAAAATAGGCCCACAAAGGGGAAGGGCGATAGGAGACCGGGGGGGGGGGGAGTAATCAAGAAATAAAAAACTAGAGGCAATGAGGAATACTTACCGTAGACGAGAAAACAACAAGGGACACAAGCAAAAGTGTCACCAAAACAGTATGAAACAACATAAGAACATACATCTGAGGAACACAGTGGGGCGCCGCCTTGGAACGGTCAGCAGCATATAATGACTGCTGGGGGAGTTTAAAACCGGTTATGGTGCACCAAACCTCGCTCTTAGCCCCCACCATGTTCCTATAACGAGACAGTGTAAATAAAATGAATCCCCGCCAAGTGAAAATTCTAACAGTTGTCATGGTTACAAAGGTTAATAATAAGTAAAACACTAAAATGATCATGTAGAAACATATAAAAGTAACCAATGACCATAACAAAAGTACTCAATGTCCTAAAGGAAGACAGAGCAACAAGAAAATCACCTACAAGGGCCCGACGAAGCAAGCAGAAGACGAACATTAAGACAATTCAGTCCCAAAGGGCTTTACGAACTATCCATCATAGAGTCTCCCACTTGGTCCGTCAGATGCAATCAAAAGAGGAAAGCGTAGTGTCCAACTGTAAAAGGGTTGAACACTAAACATGCAGTATAAAGTTGTAAAGTATAGTCAAATTCAAAAAGATAATCCCCTTAAGTAAATTGATAAAGTCACATAAAAATGTATACAATGTATAATGTAACAAATGTAACAAAATAGATCTTAGTTTGTAAGGGACTCCTGAAATCCAAAAACTTTGAAATTTGAACAATTTTCAGGGTCCCGGAATTCTATATATTAATTTATACCTTTGAATTGGAGGACTTCTAAATTCTGATATTCTGGTAAAGTTTGGATTATATGAATAAAAAAATTACTTCCAATATCCAGAAATAGAAAACGGGTGTGAAGGATTATCATACTTGAGAATAAAACCTGCAAAATATTTGTACCTTCCAATTATACCTTGACCCCTATTAGAACATCAACCTTTCAAACATGTCAATTCCTGGATTTAATTGAAGGCTTAAAATAAAGTCTGACCTTATATAATTATAATATGTTGTTTAGAAAAGTAAATATTATAAATCATATGGATGCATTTTGTATGAAAGAAAATGTTATAAAACTGATATTTTTCATCAGCTGAAGAAGAAGGACTTCATTATGACTACTGAAGGCTTTGAAGAAATTCTGAGACAAATCAAAGAGGAAATGGCAAAAGTTCTAAAATCAACAGAAAATGCTGCAACTAAAGAGGAGTATGATGATCTGAAGAAGAAGCTAATAGACCTTGAAGCTAAGATGTCTGACAAAGAGGAGGGAAAACTGGAAAATGAAAAAGAACTTGCAGAACTAAAGAAAACAATTACAGATCTTGAATCACAGATGTGTAAAGAAAAGAAGGAAAAGCTTGAGATGGAAATTGAGCAAGTTAAATTGAAAAACAAACTTACAGTACTAGAGACTCTTGTTACAGAACAGAAAGAGGTAAAATAAATTTTTTTCTGCTTGTTAACTAAATGATGTGCTTTTACACATGCATCTGCATCTTGGCATTAAAAAAGATAAAAATATGAGAATTGTAAAGAAATTATTTTATGATTTAAGTTCTTGTGGCAAAATTGTTCTAGTACTGTACGTACCTGTTTAACTGGAAAAGGCAACCAAGATCATCTCATGTACAATGGGTATGAAATGTATATAGCTATTATTATCTGAAGCAAAAAAAAAATATTGTTAAATTTTAATAATGAAACTTTCAAAATGAAAATGAACTAAAAATGTTTTAGTATATTTCCTTAAGAGCATGATTATGGCTCATTCATGAACTCTTTGCTTTAAGACTAAAAGCCATTTTTAAAAGGCCACAATTAGAGGTAAGATGTTAGCAATACTTGCTTCTTATTAAAGTCATACTTAAAAGCTAAATGATAGCTATTCTTGCTCATGGTGAAGGTCACACTTATAGGTTTAAATGATAGTTGTGCTGGCTGATGTTGAAAGCTACATTTAAAGTTCAATTTAAGCTTTGTTGGCTCATTGTGAAGGTCAAGTTAGCTGATTGCTCATGCTTAATGTCAGACTTAAATGTTTAATGTTAGCTTTCTTGCTCCTGGTGAAAGTCACACTTAAAGGTGGAATGTTAGGTTTGCGTACATGTTGTGAAGACCACACTTTTAGGTTTAATGTAAGCTGTACTTGCTTGATGAAAGTCTGACTTAAAAAATAAATGTTAGCTATGCTTACTCATTAGATCACACTGAAAGGTTAAATGTTAGCTATCCTGGCTCATGGTGAAGGTCACACTTAAATGTTAAATGTTATGTTATCCTTGCTCATGGTAAAGGTCACACTTAAATGTTAGCTTTGCTTGCCCAAAATGAAGGTCACACTTGAACGGTAAATGTTAGCTTTGTTTGCACATAATGAAGGTCACACTTGAAGGTTAAATAATAGCTATGCTTGCTCATGGTGAAGATCACATTTAAAGGTTAAATGATAGCTGTGCTTACGCATGCCGAAGCTCAAAATTCAAGGTTAAATGTTAGCTATGCTGGCTTATGGTTAAAGTCACACATAAAGATTAAAATAAATAGTTATGCTCACAAATGGTAAAGGTCACACTTAACGGTTAAATGATAGATATGCTTGCTCATGGTAAACGTAACATTCAAATGTTAAATGTAAGATATCCTTGCTCATGGTAAAGGTCAAACTTAAAGGTAAAATGCTAGCCTTGCTTGCCCATAATGAAGGTCACACTAAAAGGTTAAATGAAAGCTTTGCTTGCTCATGGTGAAGGTCACTTTAAAATGTTAAATGTTAGCTTTGTTTGCACATAATGAAGGTCACACTTGAAGGTTTAATGATAGCTATGCCTGCTCAGGGTGAAGATCACATTTAAAGGTTAAATGATAGCTATATGCTTATGCATGTCAATGCTCAAAATTCAAGGTGAAATGTTAGCTATTCTGGCTTATGGTGAAGGTCACACTTAAAAGTTTAAATGTAAGCTATGCTTATGCATGTAAATGCTCAAAATTCACGGTGAAGTGTTAGCTATTCTGGCTCATGGTGAAGGTCACACTTATAGGTTTAAATGATAGTTGTGCTGGCTGATGTTGAAAGCTACATTTAAAGTTCAATTTAAGCTTTGTTGGCTCATGGTGAAGGTCAAGTTAGCTGATTGCTCATGCTTAATGTCAGACTTAAATGTTTAATGTTAGCTTTCTTGCTCCTGGTGAATGTCACACTTAAAGGTGGAATGTTAGGTTTGCGTACATGTTGTGAAGACCACACTTTTAGGTTTAATGTAAGCTGTACTTGCTTGATGAAAGTCTGACTTAAAAAATAAATGTTAGCTATGCTTACTCATTAGATCACACTGAAAGGTTAAATGTTAGCTATCCTGGCTCATGGTGAAGGTCACACTTAAATGTTAAATGTTATGTTATCCTTGCTCATGGTAAAGGTCACACTTAAATGTTAGCTTTGCTTGCCCAAAATGAAAGTCACACTTGAACGGTAAATGTTAGCTTTGTTTGCACGTAATGAAGATCACATTTAAAGATTAAATGATACCCGTGCTTACAATGGCAATGCTCAAAATTCAAGGTTAAATGTTAGCTATGCTGGCTTATGGTTAAAGTCACACATAAAGATTAAAATAAATAGTTATGCTTATTAATGGTAAAAGTCACACTTAACGGTTAAATGATAGCTTTGCTTGCTCATGGTAAACGTAACATCTAAATGTTAAATGTAAGCTATACTTGCTCATGGTAAAGGTCAAACTTAAAGCTAAAATGTTAGCTTTGTTTGCAGATAATGAAGGTCACACTTGAAGGTTTAATGATAGCTATGCCTGCACAGGACGAAGATCACATTTAAAGGTTAAATGATAGCTATGCTTATGCATGTAAATGCTCAAAATTCAAGGTGAAATGTTAGCTTTTCCGGCTTATGGTGAAGGTCACACTTAAAAGTTTAAATATAAGCTATGCTTACTCATGGTTATGCTCAAATTTCAAGGTTAAATGATAGCTATACTTATTCATGGTAAAGGTCAATCTAAATGGTTTAATGTCAGCTGTGCTGGCTCATTGTGAAGATTTTACATAAAGGTCAAATATTAGAATATATCTTGCTAGCTATGTCTAAAAGTGTTTTCTTCAATCTTTGCTCAGTTTAAACATTTACATTGTTAAAATATCTTTCCGATTAGTTTTGTACTACAAAATCTTTTTTGGAGTAAAGAAGATGAGTTGTTTTTGCAGGAGATGGCAAAACTTAAGACAGAAACTTCCTCAGGTCAAAGTCAGGCAGGTTATGAGCAAACTAAGTTAGGTGAGTAAATATGTGTGTTTACAGTGTACACACCATGACATTTTTCTTAATGTAAAAAATGTTTATTATTTCAGAAATTCATATAAATTAAATGATAAAAATTTTAGAACGTCGGCTCATATTATATCATTAAATTTATGCTATTAACATTAAATTAAACCCTACCACATAATGTGGTTGTGGTCAACTAGAATCAATTTGTGTTGGCATTGTTTGGTCTATCCATCTCCATCGTGTCCATTCTAGAAATCCTATAGACCCCTTGGAAATTTTTTCTTCAAGAAGTTCACCTCATCAAGTCGACCTGCAGAATCGGTGCAACCACTGTACCAGCTCAAGGTCAAGATCACTGTTGAAGGTCAAATGCCAAACATCAAACAACTTTTTCTTTGCTCTATAAATCCTATACCCCTTTGTATGATTTTCCTTAAACTTGCCTCAACTAGTCATTGTGCAGAACAAATGTCTCTAATTGGTCTACTCAAGGTCACCTATTGAGGTCAAAGGTCAAATATGGGACATTATCCTCTTCCTGTTATGCATGCTATACCCTTAGGATTTGTTTCAAACTTTACTCAAAAGTGCATCTTAACAAGGCAATGTTCAGAACCGATGCCTCTGTTGTGCGGACTCAAGTTACCTTTGATGGTCAAAGGTCAAGTATCAGACAGTAACCTATCTGCTGCATAAACCTATAATTTTTTTTTCAAATTTGGCATAACTGTTTACTAAACAAGGAGGGTAAATGGATTTTGTTATACCTCAAATATTTCAGTCAATTGACATATGGCATATGAAACTTTGCACACTTGTTCACTATCATGACCGCAACCTGTAAACAGAATGAGGTAACTCTATGAAGCATTTTGACAGAAAAATGCCCGTTTTACAACTTAAAATTTACATTTAAGTTTGCATACCACCTAAGATATATTTTCATTTTTACTCTTCTTTAAGAGCATATTAGGACTCTCTCCAAAGCCTATAACTGTTACATGGATTTAAAGATTTTTTTTGCCCTTAAGTCCACTAAATTTTTCATTATCAAGGCTCTTTTACTATCAAGCACTAAGAATAGTCGAGCGTTGCTGTCCTACCGACAACTCTTGTTTCATCATGTATTTTTTTTTTGAAAAATTATTATGACTTAATTATATACTGATATTTGTTCATTTTTGTTTGAAAAAAAAAAATTAAATGACAATTCTCGGGAGAATCATTCACGCAATATTCTTCCAAAACAAAATGATCTTGTGGTTCCAGTAACCTGACCGACCCTGTATTTCCGCATTTAACCTAAAACATTTTATTGCAATAATGGAGTATCCTATAGTGTATACATCTGACATACAGTTAAATTTTAATAAAATACTAATTAAAAAAATGTTTTCCGACCTACCTACCCTATTATTTTATTTTTCAACATGTTACCAGAACCTCAAGATCAATATGCTCCCCGAAAAAATTTCGGGGGAGCATATAGTCGCCGCCTTGTTCGTCCGTCCGTCCGTCTTTCCGTCCGTCCGTCCCCTTTTCTTGTCCGGGACTTAACTTTGAAACAACAAGAGGTATCAACATGAAACTTTGTAGGTAGATAGATCTCATTGAGTAGGTGTGCAGTGCACAAGAACCGTAACTCTGCCTTGCCTAATTTTTGAATTATTCCCCTTTGTTTATTTTTACACTTGAACTTTGTCCGGGACATAACTCTAAAATTATAAGAGGTTATCAAACATGAAACTTTGTTAGGTAGATTAGATCTCATTGAGTAGAAGTGCAGTGCACAAAGAACCATTTTAACTCTGCCCTTGCCTAATTTTTGAATTATTCCCCCCCTTTGTTTATTTTTACACTTTTAACTTTGTCCGGGGGACATAACTCTAAAAGTATAAGAGGCGATCAACATGAAACTTTGTAGGTAGATAGATCTCATTGAGTAGAAGTGCAGTGCACAAGAACTGTAACTCTGCCTTGCCTAATTTTTGAATTATCCCCCCTTTGTTATTTTTACACTTTGAAATTTGTCTGGGACATAACTCTAAAAAGCATAAGAGGTATCAACATGAAACTTTGTAGGTAGATAGATCTTCATTGAGTAGAAGTGCAGTGCACAAGAAACCGTTACTCTGCCTTGCCTAATTTTTGACATTATCCCCCTTTGTTTATTTTACACTTTAACTTTGTCCGGGACATAACTCTAAAAGTATAAGAGGTATCAACATGAAAACTTTGTAGGTAGATAGATCTCATTGAGTAGGTTGTGCAGTCACAAGAACCGTAACTCTGCCTTGCCTAATTTTTGAATTATCCCCCTTTGTTTATTTTACACTTTGAAATTTTGTCCGGGACATAACTCTAAAATAATAAGAGGTAATCAACCCATTGAAACTTTTTAGGTAGATACGATCTCATTGAGATAGGTGTGCAAGTGCACAAGTAAAAAAACCTTTTTTTAACTCTGCCTTTTTTTTTGTTCTAAAAAATTTTTTTTGGGGAATTTTATTCCCCTTTGTTTATTTTTAACACTTTGAAATTTGTCCCGCGGACAATAACTTCTAAAAAGTATAAGAGGTATCAACATGAAACTTTGTAGGTAGATAGATCTCATTGAGTAGGTGTGTATCTAATAAAAAATATGCAGTTGCACAAGAACCGTAAACTCTGCCTTGTCTAATTTTTGAATTATTTCCCCCTTTTGTTTTTTTTTAACAACTTTTTGGAAATTTTGTTTTCCGGGACATAACTCTAAAAGTATTAAGAGGTTTATCAACATGAACTTTGTAAAGGTAGATAAGAATCTCATTGAGTAGGTGAAGCAGCGAACAAGAAACCTTAACTCTGCCTTGCCTAATTTTTGAAATTATCCCCCTTTGGTATTATTTTACACTTTGAACTTTGTCCGGGGAACATATTTCTTAATGTATAAGCAGATATCAACATTGAAACTTTGTAGGTAGATAGATCTCAAATTGAGTTTAAGTTTGCAGGCAACAAGAACTGTAAACTGTCTTGCCCTACTTTTGTTAGTTATTGCCCTTTGTTCATTTTTGGACACTTGAACTTTGTCTGGGGACATTACTCTAAAATTATAAGAGATATCAACATGAAACCCTTTGTTAGATAGGATAGGTCTCATTGGGTGGAAGTGCAGTGGGCTTAAGAATCATTACTCTGCCTTGCCATATTTTGAAAGTAATTGCCCTTTGTTTATTTTTTTACTTTTTGAACTTTTGTCCTGGCAACTTTTACTTTAAAACTATTAGAGATATCAACATTGAAACTTTGTAGGTTAGCTAGATAAATTGGGATAGAACTGCAACGCTTAAGAACCTAAACAAAGGCAACCTGGTCTAATTGTTTTGGAGTTATTGCCTTTGTTCATTTTATTTTTTTATACCTTTTCCTGTGTCCAGAACCTTCTCGGGGAGCATCACCCGGTTCAACCGGTTCTTGTTTTGTTTTGGCATTATGATGTAAAACACACAAGGCAATTTTCCCCATAGAATTTTTATTAGCTCACCTGTCACAAAGTGACATGGTGAGCTTATGTGATCACTTTTCATGCGGTGTCCATCCGTCCATCGTCCATAAACCTTAACTTTAAACGACATCTCCTCATAAACCGCTGAGCCAATTTCATTCAAACTTTACAGGAATGGTCCTTTGGTGGTCACCTTTAAAAATTGTTCAAAATTTTTTATTCCATGCAGTACTCTGGTTGCCATCGCAACCGAAAGAAAAAACCCCAGAAAATATCTTCTTTAAAAAAAAGAAAAAAAAGAGGTAGAGCTTAGATATTTGGCATGAAACATCTTCTAATGAGTGTCTATCAAGTTTGTTCAAATAAAAGCCCTGGGGTCAAAATTGGCCCCGCCGCAGGGGTTCATTGCTTTTCCTTATATATCTATAGTAAAAGCTTAAACAATCTTATTTTAAAAAACCGAAAGAGCTAGAGCTTTAATATTTGGCATGATTTATCTTGTCTTGTCGCCAGTAAAATCTTCTCAAAACGAAAATGAAAGTAGAAATAAACAGTCTACTGAAATCCAGTGAAATCACAAAAAAAGGTAAAATTTCTAGGGCATTACAATTTATGAGTATATAATATGAAATTAGGCAAAGCCTATGAACGGGGTAGTTGTTAAGAAATTCCTTTTATTCTTTCCGTTTTAAAGGTGTCATTCGGTATTACTGTTACATGCACCGCTTCCGTTTTCACTCGGAACACTCGACGTTATCTATTTATCGAAAAGTTGAGATTTTAGTTCCGTCCCTATCGGATTTACCCCGCCTATTATCACCTTGAAGCTACATGTAAATGGCCCGTCGCACATCGACTAGAAACTGACAACTGAAAATTTTATTGATAGGTATAGAATTCTATATATTTTTGAATTGTTTTTTATTTGATTTTCTTTTAAATATGCACGTGAAGTCTCTAGCCGGGCAAGCCAAAGCCCGGACCCGCTTCCGAGCCCAGTCTTTGACTTCCCCGTATAAATATAAAGAACGCAATTTTATTTTAGATTTGAAACAGGTTTCGAGAGGAAAAAAATAAGGAAACCGGTTGTGATGTAAAGTTATTGGATTTACAAAGACAGCGCAACAGAAAATATTTTTCATATCACTTAGAATTGAAATTTATTGACGTGCGCTTAATATGTATTAAAAAGAGGATATTGAATGAGTGTAAGTTCAATGCTGCATTTATTGCACGAGTTGAATAAAATTATATTATGGGACCTCTGGTGAGCATAATATTTACTTTATTCAATGAGTGCAATAAATTCAGTAATGAACATACACAAATTTAATATAATATTCTATTTAACACATACTAGAAATAAAGACCGTTTAAAGTGAAATCAGGGTCATTTTTCTTTGACGCGCCTATAGTTAAACGCTAACATTTAGCACGTCTTTACACTATGTTTGTATAACGCTAATGACGTCACGTCAAAATATATGCACGGCCGTACAATACCATATTTACATAGTCG